TGCATTGTAAGGTAATATATTCATAGGTTGCAGGGATTAGGACACAGACATCTTTCAGGTGCAATTATTCAGCCTAATACATGTATCAATTTGTTATCTATCAAGCAGATAGCTCAAAACTAACCCTTTGATATAACTGGGAAAATGAATATTTCAGAGACCAAGTCTGTCTGTCTCCTGCTGCTCTCACACTGTCATTTTATGAAAGCATCTGCCTTTGGTGTATACTTTTTTAAAAATATATTTCTATTGATTTCACAGAGGAAGGGAGAGAGTGAGAGATAGAAACATCAATGATGAGAGAGATGAGAGAGACTCTCTCTCATCGATGTTTCTAACTCTCTACCTCTCTTCCTTCCTCTCTGTACAAAATCAATAAAATATATTTTTTTTAAAAAGGAAATTAAAAAAAACAACAACCTGTGATTGACTCCTCCTGAGAGTTACTAAGCAGTTTCAGCCACATGTGACCAGGTCATTCAATATCATGAACTAGATAAATAGCATTGTAAACAGGAAGTAGGTCTTAAAGCCCTCACTCGCAGTAAATTACCAATTTACCAAGGAATTACCAAGTAATTTAGCAAGTTCTTTACAAAGAACAATAGGTCAAAGTTTCCAGGGAATGCATAAAAAGTCAAGAATGGAAACCCTAAAAAATGACAAACTGTTCAAAGGCAGTTGTGGATGGCCTAATCCTACATCTGACCTACATCAAAGGGTTTGTTTGTTTGCATGCTTGTTTCTAACATCCTGAGAGTCAAGTATCAGCAGTAAAAATCTCTCTCCTGGTTCTTGGCGCTGCCATAAAGCCCATGTCGTTTAAACAAATGGATGTGGCTGGTGCTTTTAAGAATTTGCACACAAGGCTCAAATGTCCACCAGGAAGGGGACAAGCCACCAAGAGAAAAGGTATACAAACTTTTTGTTGATCTGTGAATTTCAAATTAAACATGCAAAAGATAAAAATTTTTTTAAAAAGAACGGAATTGCCTAATTTCAGGGGAGAAGGATAAGAAGAGGTGGTGTGAATGTAATATGGTTTACAATTTAAATGATATTAGTGAATAGAATATACACTCAGTAGCCCGATTATGATGACCTCTGAACGCATAATAAGCTGGCCACTCAGTGTATGCCACGTTGTTAGTGGACATACCAATTTTTTATATTACACACACATATAGAAACTTAGATGGAAAAGAATCTAGAATAATTTAAACCGCTAGCTGGGGTGTTTTTCTATAAAATGGTTTAATTATATGATAAAGAACACTTTATTTTTTTTAAATATGAGAAATTATCCATTATAAACTGCAGAGTACTCACAGGAAAGTAATTAAAAAGTGATGCCCCACCCCGGCCAGGGTGGGAGCATCGACCTTGAACCAAAAGGCTGGGGGTTCAATTCCCAGTCAGGACGCATACCTAGGTTGGGGTTTGATCCCTGGTCTGGGCACGTATGAAAGGCAACCAACCCACACTGCTGTTTCTCTCTTTCTTTCTCTCTCTCTCTCTCTCTCTCTCTCTCTCTCTCTCCTTTCCCTCTCTCTAAAAATCATTAAGCATATCCTTCTGATATTCTAAATAAGTTAGTTTTGAGAGATCAACCAAAGGACTTATGTGCACACATATGAGCCTAACCAGTGGTCAAGGACAACAGGGGGGTGGGGCATGAGTGGGGGAGGTGGGGGATTGGAATGGGGGCATACGTGATACCTTAATCAATAAAGAAATTAAAAAAAAATAAGTTAGTTTTTCTTAGTTCCAAATATGCAGGAAATGAAATATTAATAATATCCCAAAATTTTATCAACTAAGTTCACTAATTCTGACATTCCTTTCATAATAGAAAATTGCAATTATTGTTCTCTGTCTAAATTAGAATGTATTTTATATAATTTATAACATTTGCTGCACATGAGAGAATCTCAAATCTGGCTTTGTATCCAATTACTAGGGAACTTTTAATTTATTTTTTAAATCTTTATTGTACCTGGGGAACATTTTAAAAATAAGTTCTTGGGCCCTGGCCATTGTGACTCAGTTGGCTGAGAATCATCCCAGGCACCTGAGAGGTCAAAGGTTCAATTCCCAGTCAGGGCACATGCCTGGGTTGTGCGCTCATCCCCAGTAAGGGTGTGCATGAGGCAGCTGATCAGTTTCTGTTTCATCAACGTTTGTCTCTCTCTCCCTTCCCCTCTCTCTCTAAATCAATAAAAAAAAAATATTTAAAAAAGTAACTTCCTAGGTCCCATCTCCTGGAGATTTTGATTTGGAAAGTTTGGAGTAAGTGCCAGGAGTCAGTATCCTATGTAATAAAAGCTAATATGCAAATAGACTGAATGGCAGAATGACTGGTCACTATGACCTGCACTGACCATTAGGGAACCCGCTTAGCCAGAAGCCGGGCTCACAGCTGGGGAGCACAGTGGTGAGAGCCTCTCCCACCTCTGTGGCAGTGCTAAAGACCCCTCGGGGGATGTCCGCCTGCTGGCTGAGGCCCGCTCCCTAAACGGACTGTGAGAGGGGGCAGGCCAGGCTAAGGGACAACCTCCAGTACACAAATGTTGTGCACTAGGCCTCTAGGATTGGATAAAATATAAAGCTCATGTTAAGTGTACTCAGGGATTTCCTCCTCTGATTCAGCTAATTCTTGGAACTGGTCCCTTATTTCAGTGCTTTTCAAACTCTGCAGTTCATCATTTGCAGATGTGACTAAGCGGCAGATTCTGATTCATTGGTCTGGAATGAGGCCTGGGAACATACAATTCCAACAAGCTTTGCTAGGAAGACTTATAGGATCTTTCAGTCTTTCCCCAGGCGAATGATAGGAGGCAGGTCTACTGCTAGAACATTTTCTTCAACTTTTACCTAAACATCCTTTAGCATAGATAGATGCATAATTTGCAAAATAACTTGACCTAGCTTTACTATATGGCCTGCTACCAAGGGAATGGAAATGACTTTCCCCATTTACAGAGTATCCCTGAAGATGCAGAGGTGAGATTAAAATGTACGTAATACCCAATAAATATATATGGATGTTGACCACAACATGATTATAATGGTAAAACGCTGGAGAAAAATCTAAATGTCCAATAATAGAGGACTGATTAAATAACTTATAAGGGCACCTAGTAAAATAATGACGTAAATGTGTAATTACTGGTAATGAAAAGATGTCAGTGATAGGTTTTAAAAAGGTTTTATAAAAGCTTATCGTTTGATTCCAATTTGTGCTAGAGAAAAATACACAAAAAGCCATATATACATTTATGCAAAAGGGTCCAGAAAAATATACTAAATTGTTTAAAGCGTCCTCAGAGTACTAGAATTTAAGGTGGTTGTCTTTCCTTTGGCTGGGGTGGGGGGTAAGGAATGCCCTGAGCGGACTCTCTGGGTACATGGGAGGATGCTCAACCAACTGAGCAACACGGGCCAGGGCCTCAGGTGGTTTTCATGTTTGTTTCCTCGCATTATCTAATATTTCTACTGTGACACAGACTTGATAAAATTCTTCAAGGATTAAAAAGGGGGTGAGAAGAAACTCAAGCAAACCCCCTACCTGCATGCACTTTTCAGGAACTACTATAACGGCTCTACTGCTAAATTGTTTGCATTCCAAAGAGTCATCAAGGGATTTCCCACTTTCAAAACACTTTGTTTTTTTGCTTTGTTTTTGTTAATCCTCACTCCAGGCTATTTTTCCATTGCTTTTTTACACAGAGGGGAAAGGAGGGAGGGAGGGGGGAGGGAAGGAAGGAAGGAGAGACCTAGTTGAGAGAGTAACTTCCTAGGTCCCATCTCCTGGAGATTTTGTGTAAGTCTCTGCACTTCTAGAAAGCTAGAAGGAGGGAGAGACCTAGTTGAGAGAGACACATCTACTGTCACAACTGCCCCAACCAGGGCCCCAGGGCTAGGGATTGAACCTGCAACCTAGGTAAAAGTCCTTAACCAAAATTACCGTCTAGCGCTCCACCTAGACCTGCTGAATTTGAATCTCTGACAATAAACTCCTGAGTCTGCATATGAAGCAATCATTGACTTTCACAAAGAGTACAGTTTGGAAACTTGGTGTTAAACAAAAAAGCTTTAAATTTCAAACCTATCTCAATGGCAACCTGTAGCATATTCAGAAAGGGGGAAATCAGACACACCCACTAGAATCTGAACTACAATCACCTGCCTGGAATTACTGGCTTTATTCTGTTAATTTTACACATCTCCAGTGAAAACTGACCACTTCTCTGGAGATGACGGAGGTCACAAAGGTTTTCCTTATATTTGACCTACATCTGTTATTATAACTCCTTCTGTGATACTTGACCCCCTCGGTAGTCATTCGTGAGTTAGAAGTCCACATAAACATCTGTTACGGAACCAAATATCAAGCTGATCCAACTGCAGTCCTGTTGCTTTCGTTTCTCCTTCCTAAGCACATTGCACTGGACTAACCTCAGTGAATTCTGCTGATTATTTCTTCCAGAGATCCTCTTCAAGGAAAACACAAAGGCATGTGGGAGTTTAGACTAACAGAAGCCCTCCAAGAACCAAGAAAAGCATTTCCTGTTCTAAAAAAACAGTCCACGAACCCCCAAAAATGTGTTAAGAGGAAAGGGAGATATCGCAGAATCTATGGCTCACATGCCACAGTCTCCAGCACTTAGAATATCAAGTCTGGAGGCACAGATTTAGGAAGAAGTTGTAAAAATGAGAGTTTCAGGAATTTCCTAACGTTGATAAATTCAGAGCATTTTCCCACAGAAAGACATCATGGCGTTTTCCCTTGTTAAACCAGGGGGCAAAGCCATGGAACAGAAAAATAGTTGGCGTGAGGTTCTAAGAGGATCTAGGAAAAGGGCATCGTTTTTGGGAGGTGGGGAGATGAGCGCTTAATTTTATTTTAATCTCGGATGCGTTTGGATCCTGGATCGCTCAGAAGACCGGGTTCACTAAAGCTGGGATTGATTAAAACCAGGAAGGTTATATATACCGACCTGCAGCTCACACCAGGCGACCTCAACCCAGGTCTCCGTGTCCAGGCCTTTGTACACGGTTTTAAATGCTCCTCTGCCCAGCTCGATGTCGAATTTCAGGAAGCGGCCGCTAGGAGAAGTAGCCACGGCCTTCATCTCCGCCTCTTCTTCCATCTCCTTTTCATTTTTCTCCTTGGGACAATCTTTGGAGGCTTCTGAGGTTGCTTTTGACCCTTGCGAGAATTTGGCTTCTTTTTCGCTTCTTAGCACGTTTGCGGGGAGCATCTCTCCTCCTGGAGTAGCTGCTGCTGTCTTCGCCTTCTCGGCATCCTTGGAGGGAGAATCCACAACTTTGTCATCCACGCTCTTTCGGAAGAATCTCTTCCTTTCGACGGTTTCGCCCCCGGCGGAGATGGCACTGCCTTTCTCCTTCAGTCTGCTCTCCACGGTCAGCGTGGCTGCCATCTGATGGACTCTGTTTTCCAGCGAAACCCCATCAGGTTTCTCAGAATCCTCCGTGCTGGCTGGCTCCCCTGAATCAGTAGCCATGGTAATTAAGGTTGGCACTGCAAATTTCCCTGCGCTGTCCTTCAGTCCAGTTACATCTCAGGTATCAGAATGATCAGAATGGACTTCCTTTTTATGTGGTCACGTTTCCATAGTAACCTGAAAGGGGGAAAAAGGGATATTTTAAAATTACCTCACAAAGGAAATCATTAAGGAGAAAACAAGTCACCTGATTGTTTAATCCATTTTTTCTTAATAAGAAGTTTGTTCTTTTTTTTTTTTCTGTCCAAGCTTAGCAACCAGCGGGCTCCAGGGACTATGTCTTATCTTGTTTACCACTGTAACCTGCAGTGCCTAGCAGGCTGCTTGGCATACAGCTCAGTAAGTCTTCAGATTGAATGGATACTGGTTAGGAACCTAGTTCTCAGTGCCATCTATCAATCCATCATATTTAAAACAAGTATCTAGACCTGAGTTCACTTAGCTACAAGGTAAAAGGTAACACACGATAATTAAAACAAGCACATTGCTCCTCAGTAATTGTTTTTCGTCTAAAATTCTGGAATCCGATGGTAGTCTTTTTATTGTGGCAAAATATACTTAATATCAAATTTACTATTTTGACCATACACTTCGGTGGCTTTATGTATAGTCTCAATGTTGTACAATCATCACCATGATTTGTTTCTATTAATAGAATTCTCCATCCTGGATCACTTCATCATACCAAATGGAAATACTGTGTCCATTAAACTATAACTCTTCATCTCTCCAGTCCCTAGTAATCCCGATCCTACTTTGTGTCTCTGTGAATTTGTTTATTCTAGGTGCTACATCTAAGTGGAATCATATAGTGTTTGTCCTTTTGTGTCTGGTTTACTTCACTCAACAAAATGTTTGCAAGGTTCGCTGATGTTGTAGCATATTATCAGAATCTCATTCCTTTCTAAGGTTGGACAATATTACATTGTGTGTATGCTGTATGCCACATTTTGTTTATCCATTCATCTGCTCAATGGATTGGGCTGTTTCCACCTCCTTTTAAAAAAAATATATATTTTATTGATTTTTTACAGAGAGGAAGGGAGAGAGATAGAGAGCTAGAAACGTCGATAAGAGAGAAACATCGACCAGCTGCCTCTTGCACATCCCCTACTGGGGATGTGCCCGAAACCAACATACATGCCCCTGACCGGAATCGAACCCGGGGACCCTTCAGTCCGCAGACCGATGCTCTACCACTGAGCCAAACCGGTTTTGGCTGTTCCCGCCTCTTGAATACTATGAATAATGCTGCTATGAACATCCAATTGTAGCTTTGAGGTACACAAATACATGTTTATGAGCTTGCCTTCGATTTTAGCAGAAACTACTGTAAAACATTAACATAAAATACGAAAAAATTAAAACACTATACTAAATCTGTTAAGAAACACTTTAAAATACACATTCTCTTGAACCAGCAATTCTACTTACAGGAACTTGCCTGAGAAAATAGTCAATTTGTGCAAAGATTTAATTATAAAGACATTCATTACAGCACTTAATAATTTGGAAAAAAACTGTAACTAAACATAAACCTAGTAGGGATTTAATTAAATATCTCAAAATGAGATGGATACAGTATTTTTTTAAAAACCACTATCTTTTAATATTAAAAGACATCTATATATTATATGGTTAAATGAAATATATACAATAAGCCTTCATATATACATACATACATGATATTAATTCTGAATTGTATAATTATGGACTTTCTGCTTTTCTGTATTTTTTTACATTTTCCACAAAGAATATGTGGAAATACGTGGAACATATAAAGAAAGTTATTTTAAAATTTTATTTTAAAATTATAGTTTACATTCAATATTATTTTGCATTAGTTTCAAGTGTATAGCAAAATATTTCAGGGACCACTTTGTAAAGTACATGATCGTCTAAGAAAAAGGTTTTTCAAATGAATAGTCTAACTACCAATAAGACAATTCTTCTCGCCGAAACTGGTTTGGCTCAGTGGATAGAGTGTAGGTCTGCGGACTGAAAGGTCCCAGGTTCGATTCCAGTCAAGGGCATATACCTTGGTTGCGGGCACATCCCCAGTTGCGGGGGGGGGTGTGCAGGAGGCAGCTGGTTGATGTTTCTCTCTCATCGACGTTTCTAGCTCTCTATCCCTCTCCCTTCCTCCCTATAAAAAATCAATAAAATATATTTTTTTTAAAAAGAAAGAAAATTCTTCTCTTCTCACCATAAACATGCATCCCAAAGTTAAGTTCTGTCTATTATTATGTCACACACCTTAGAAGGCACTTTTTGTCACAATAAAAAAAAAATACGGAGAAATATCAAATTTGAAACCTGAGAATAACAATCCTTAACTAAAACAAAATGGGGAGAAATACCCTAAATTGTTTACATATTAAACATAAATCCTATCAATATCCACCTAGTTTCTTTGCAGAAATTAACAAATTGATCCTAAAACTCATAAAACTTTGAGGGACCAGAATAGCCAAAGGCAAAACAATCTTGAAAAGAGAACAAAGTTGGAGGACTCATCCTTTCGAATTTTAAAACCTACCACAAAGCTACAGTATTAAGATAGAGTGGTACAGCCCAAACCGGCTGGGCTCAGTGGTAGAGCGTCGGTCTGTGGACTGAAAGGTCCCGGGTTCGATTCCGGTCAAGGGCATGTGCCTTGGTTGCGGGCACATCCCCAGTAGGGGGTGTGCAGGAGGCAGCTGGTCGATGTTTCTCTCTCATCGATGTTTCAGGCCTCCCTTCCTCTCTGTAAAATATCAATAAAATATATTAAAAAAATATAGAGAGAGTGGTACTGGCATGTGGATAGATGTAAAAATAAATGGAATGAAACAGAGAACCCAGAAATAAACCCACATATTTATGATCGATCTTTAATAAGGGTGCCAAGACATTTCAATGGGGAAAGAACCTTCTTTTCATCAAATATCTATATGCAAAAGAATGAAGTCCACACTCTAAGGAAGGTCTACGGGAAGAGTTGCTGGAACTGAGTCTCAAAGAAAGAAAATTCCCCGATGCAAGCAGAAGGAAGATCACAAGCAAAGTCATGAGACAGCATGGATTAAGTGTATGAATGGTACCACATACTTTAGAAGCAGGCAGATGAAGACAGAGAGCAGATATAAAATAAGACCAGTTAGAAATCTACTGCAATAATCCAGGAAAGAGATGCTGATGTGTGAATGAAAATATTGGCAAGAGGGATAGATTCAAGAAAGGAAGTTCTAAATTTGAGGTTTATTGCCTGAGTGAATATGGTTTTGAGGGGAAAGGAAGGATCTATGATAACCCTCAGAAATTTGCCTATAACACTACTAGGACATAGATAAGAATTACAGCCATGTACCACACAATGACATTTTGGTCAAAGACGGACCACATTCACCATACAGCCTATGTGTCTAGTAGGCTATACCATTTGGGCTTGTGTAAGTATACTCTATGATGTTCACATAGATGAATTACCTAACAATGCATTTCTCAGAACCTATCCCTGTTGTTAAATGGTGCATGACTGCAACCTAAGGACTCATGAACCGCTTTATGAGGTTACATTGCCAAATCAATGTATTTCGAAAGTCAATGAACGAGACTAGTATTACCTGTAAGTAAGAAAGGGTAACTAGTAACACCTCACTTAGGTGAAGATTTTTTTCTTTAACTTATTTTGACACAATTTGGACTTGGAAAAAGGTACACAAAGAATCCAATATACCCTTCACTTAAATTTCCCAAATGTTAACATTTTAGGTGAGATATTCTTAAAAATATTACTCACTTCACTTAGCTAAAGGTCAATTATCCAGAAACCTCAAGAACAGAGATCCATAAGCCAAAAGGACTTCTTAAAAGATAAAACATAGGTAAAATAAGAGAACTTAAATAACTGCAGAAATTCTTTTTAAAAAGTGAAATCTTACTTGGAACCCTAATATAAAAATAGAGGGGCAAGTTGTCCTGCTCTAGTATAATTTTAACATGTTTGGTCACCTGGTTTTCCAAACCATGGGATAAGCAGCAGAAAATAAGAGGGATGAGGAAAGGAGTGTTCCCTCAGTCTTTAAAAACAAAACAAAACATCTTAAGACGAAAAATGTTTTAGAGACAAAGAGGGATATTTTATAAGTATGAAAAGATTAATTCATTAGAATAATCCTAATAAAAGAGTGAAATACAAATTGACCATTACTCCAACACACAAGATGGCTGCTCCCATGTGTTCAAAGATCCTGCCCCCATGTGGACACAAGATGGCCACCACAAGTTGGCCAGCAGGGGAGGGCAGTTGGGAGGGACCAGACCTAAACAGACAGTCGGACATCACTCAAGGAGTCCCAGATTGGAGAGGGTGCAGGCTGGGCTGAGGGACACCCCCCCCCCATGCACGAATTTTGTGTACCTGGCCTCTAGTAAAATTATATATTAATACATCTAACAACAAAGCCCCAAAATACATTAAGTTAAAAGTGATAAGAGCCGGACTGGTATGGCTTAGTTGGTTGAGCATTGTCCCATGCATCAGAGGTTGCCGGGTTCAATTCCCAGTCAGGGCACATGCCCAGGTTATGGGCTCAATCCCCAGCAGGGGGCATGCAGAAGGCAGACAATCGATGATTCTCCCTCATCTTTGATGTTTCTCTCTCTCTCTCTCTCCCTTGCTCTCTCTGAAATCAATAAAGACATATTAAAAAAATAAAAGATGGAAGTGAAACACAAAAGCCTTGGAGAAAATATGTGCAAATCATTTTTCTGATAAGAGACTAGTATTCAGAACATACAAAAAATTCTTACAGGTCAATAATGAAAAGATAAATAATCCAATGGGTTGAAGATCTGAATAGAAATTTTCTAAAGTAAGATATACAAATGGCCAATAAACACATGAAAAAAAATGTTCCACATAATTGCTCATTAGGTAAACACAAATCAAAAACTAAAATGAAAGACTACTTTGTACCCACGAGGTTGGCTACAATAAAAAGATGAACAGCAACAAGTTGGTGAGGATGGAGAGAAAATGGCCCCGCATGCATTGCTGGGGGGAATGTAAAGCATTGCAGCTGTTTCGGAACATAATCTGGCAGTTATTCAACAAGGCAACATAGAGTTACCAT